AGCATAATGATATCCGAAGGAGTTAGTGAAGATGATGAAATTGAAGAGATCTTGAATGAACTTTTGTCTGAAGGCAAATATGCCAATGACTAAACTCTTTACAAATGCAAATTGTTTAAGCGCGAGTGTTTCTGATTTTTTCAGTTGGGACTACAATAGGATGACAAAAAAAATGTTAGAGTGAAAAAGATGAAAGAAAAAGGTTTAGGAGAAATGAGTGAGGTCGGTAAGAGTTTCGGGTTTCTTGCTTTATTTTTAATTTTAAAAATAAAAATTTTTCAAATACCCTCCACCTTAAAACTTAAAATCCATAATATATAAGAGTATTTTGGAGACTAAAACTTTTGCTAAAATATACCTACTAAAAAAGAACTTATACAAGTTAGCAAGTATATATATATATATATATATATATATATATATATTCTTTTGACTAACTTTATATTATATCTTAATTCTTAAATGTAATAAAATTGGTTGAGTTTTGACACAATATATTTTGTTATTATGATTATTTTTAGATAACCGTAATAATTTAATATAAATCTTTTTGTATTGATTATTTTAATTTATTAAATATGTTATAATTCCTAAATAGTATTAATATTATTAAAATTTTTTATGTTCAGTATTGTGACATAATTTTAAAAATACTATTAAAAACCTATACTAATACTGACATAATATATACTAGATTTTTATCTCAACCGCATAATATACTGTAGCAATAACTTTAAAAATACCATGTATTTTTATAAGTTTGAGTTTTTTTAATGGTAATTTATCTGCATAGTTAACGTATATTTGCACAAGTGAAAGTGATTGATAATAAATATATTAATAGATAAAAAGTTGTTTAAAATTTACTTTTGTATGTGTATTTTTTTATTTAGATCTAAAATTAATTATTTAAAACTTACATTTATGATCAATTTATTTTTCAGAAAGATGTATTTACAATAATATTTTATTATGCAAATTTATTTAAATTATAATTTAAAATTATTTTTTTCTTTAAATTTATATTGTAAATAATTATTTTTAAATAAATTGATTTAAAATTTAAAAAATAAAAATATCAATAAGTATCTCTAAATATTCGTAGATGAAAAAAATTTAGAATATTTTTTCACACATATTAAACAAGTAAATAATAAAACATTTTTTTTAAAATGTAACAAATAGGGTAATATCCGTGTCGGTCACGCAGGTCAATCTTTATCAAATTATTTAACTCTTCTTTTTAAAAAAAAGTAATGAGAAAATAGTCATATTGATGTATGTGCATTCTTAGATTCCTGAGTTATATCAGAGAATAAGCATACATTCCTTAAAAAATATTAAAAATAATTAGCATTTTTAAATTTAGTTTAGATTTGTTTTTTTTTTTAAATTTAAAACTGTTTCTGCTGAATGGACCGGGTAAAACTCCTGCTGCCTCCGTCCGGAAACACTTTTCCTCAACCGATCGGTCATTCGCCTTCTATCTTTCTTACGCTCACTCTCAATCTAGATGGGATGACCTGCAGCAAACACTCCGACGCTCAAGTCAGAATTGGTCTTTGCAAGTCTATCGAATTATATGAAAAATCAGAGTTTACCTTCTCCATTGATTGTTATTTATATGATTTCAGATAATATTACTCATTAATTTACCTCTTAATGGCGTTCAATGCTGACTATAACTACTCAACAATGACCGTTACCTCATTAATCACACATTCATGAGCATTTAAACGCTGACTTCCAGCAAACAGCTGGAAAGGTCCAATCGGTCATACTAGACTTATTCCACCCTGCTCGGTATTATCTGAACATGCCCGGTCGGTCAATCCTACTTGGTTGGTAGTAACAAAAACCAATGTTTTAATCGATATAGGTTTAAAAAATATTTAATTTAGTCATCTTTAATTATTGTTAGAGATCTTTATTGATAAAAGTAAAAGTTGTAAACCATTCAGATGATAATTTATTTCAATTTCACATGCATTCCTTCGGACATTCTACTCTCTTTTCTAATGTATTCGTTCTAATAACGTCGAGGTAGAAATGTTTGAATAGAATAATTTTAACAATTTTTTGTAAATTAAAAGAACAAAATATTAATTCTAAATTTGAATTGGTAATCCCATACGGTTTCTCTAAAAGTTGACTTTGCAGTCACTTTCTTTACAAAAATATTTAAGAAAATAAAAATTAGAAATTATTATGATTAAATGAATTAAGTTAAACAAAAATAATTTTAAGTTTCGAATCAATAAACATCGAAATAATTAGCTGTAGAAAACTTTGAAGCAGAGTCTAGACGTAAAGATGTTTTCCGTCAAATATAATTAAGAAGAAAAGAAAAGAAAAAAAAAAGAAGTTGCATTGAATTGACTATGAGCAACGTTTGTTAGGGATTGGGACGTCTTAACAAGAAGACGGTTGAATAGATGGAAAACAGAAAAGTTAAATGACCAGTTTTCTTTTTCGACTTATTGTGATTAGAAAAAGAATTGCACCACTAAAGACTACAAGATAGACTAACTTTGGAGACTTTTTCTTCTTGTTTTTTCTAAATTCTCATACACCAGTGCATTGATTATATCTTCCTTTCTATTTTTTTTTCTTGCTTTTTCTATTCGGAGTTTTAGGTTCGTGTCAGAGTTGCTCGTTCCTTTCATCGCATTAAACACGCCCTACATTGATTTCACTTCTTTAATGGAGAATGTGCCTTTCAAGATTCTTCACTTTTCCTTCGAAGAGATGAATTTATCCATAAGAAATAATAAATTAAAAAATATAAACACTCGATAGTGATACAAATGCAACAAATATGGACTGTCATTTATTTCTAAATCTTTGGTTAGTTGTATTATTATACCTTGTTCAGGAGATACTCTCGTTCTATAATTTCATTATTCATGTTTTCCATCTATAGGTTATTTATCTAATGGACATACAAATTTATTAAGATTATTAATTTAAATTTGAAAACCTTTATTAAGATTATTAACTTTACATTTGAAAACCAATCAAAGAAATATAAAGTTTATTTCATTTTGGATTAAACAATCATAAAATTCTGTTTGAATTTTTTTTGGCTTGACTTCGAAAGTGTTGAAAAATAGTAATCTCTTTTATTTTTATCATAAATGCCTTTGAAATATTTTCTAATCCATTATTTATATATCATAAAGTGTTTTTTCATTCAAGGTATTTAATATTTGAGTAGTTGTTGGAGAATACTAGGGAATTATGATTTTATATGTTTTTCCTAACTTGATTTTGTATAATATATCTAATCTTCTCATATCTAAATTTTAAGGGTAGGCTTGAATGAGACTTTTTAAAATTCAATTTATAATCCAAACTAGATCTAATAATATAGATGCGATCTATACTCCATATCCATTTTTATTAAATAAACTAGATTTTATTTTTTTATTATAATTTAAATTAGATCAAATCTAAATTAAATCCATCTTCTTAATTAGAAAAAAAATTAGTGTGATTGATCTAATATATTTAAATATTAAGTCTATTAGAGATAGATCAAAATAATTATTAAGATTTTAGTAAACATACCATTTCGTACAAATAGTTAAATAAAAAATTTAATTATCGTTTTCCTAATAGACTTGTTTTATATTAGTAAAATATACCAATTTCTTATTATATAGACTAGTTAAACTATGAAACTTTAATATAAAGATAATTATGGAATTTTTAAGAGTAGTTATGAAACCAAAATATAAAAACAAGTAAACTAATAGATTGAGTTAGTACAAATGAAGTAAATTGTTGTGGCTAAACTTAATCAAATACTTTGACTTTCAACATTAACATCAATAATCAAATTTATTCAAAAATTAGGTGAAAAAAAAACACTAAATTCCATTGATAAGTCACAATTCTTTCTTTGTGTAACTTAACAAAGCAATTTGCATTAAGCTCAATAATTAAAAGATGACCGGCTCTTAATCTATAATTTAGTTTTATTGGAACTTGTGTTAAACCTAAATGAATAAAATTATATCCATCTTTAATATCTTGATCTAACCAAGATTGCTTTAAAACATTCATGATCTTATTATATTTTTTTCGTTACTGCATAGCTGTATTTATATATATATATATATATATATAATCTTGATGGAGATATCATAATTTATGTTGTTTATATATTATACATTCGTTAACTATTGGTATTAACTAATTATGTAACAAGTTTTATTTTTTTCTGCTATTTGTAATTTTTTATCTTTATTATTTGTAGCATTAGAAGATGGGGCTTCTCTTTACCATTATTTACTTCTTTTTTAATCCCAAGTAGCTTATGGTTTTTAAGAAGTTTGGTATTCTTACTTTCATTTTCATGTTACGGAAGCAGTGGACCAACATGTTTACTACCTTATACAAGTTTTACTACCTGATCAACATATATACACCTCTGAATGCGACATTGAAACTTAAAGAAGTAAGGGTAACAAAAATCCTAATATGCAGCTTTTGGGTTAAGATATACAGTTTAGGAATGGATAGCTTATGTCCTAAATTTTGTTCTAATAGTTTAATATTATAAGATATAACTACTTTTTATTAAGTAATAAGTTAAGATTCTATACCGAAGATGCTTTAATAATTACTTTCGATGGATATTGAGAATCCTTCAGAAACTTTCTCGCAATTAACATCAATGATTTTGATTTGAGATATCCTTCTACAAATTCCAAATTTCTTAGTCTGCTATCTACAAGAAGCAAGAAATCGAGCAGCGTATAAGCATAGAAACTCCAATCAGAAACCAAGAAGGATTTCTCATGAAAGTTTAGAACCCTTCCCATTTGATAAAATCGTTAGTCTAATGAATAACTTCCTTTATTTTACTCTTTTCTCTAGCACGCTTATTTTACATTTAAGTAATAAATTATTACCTACACATTGGTGCTTTTATAGTCGTAACTTGATATTAAGACTCTATTTTGGGAATCTATTCAAATTTCAACGAAAATCTGACTTTTCAGTCTTGTTACCAGTTATCATTGCGGCGCTTTGTTCCCCATCTACAGAGTTACAAAATCTCATACCAGTAAAACAATTTAAAGACATTTGAGATTTACAGCAAACATTTTTTTGTAGCCCATTACATTCCAATTACCCACTGAACCGCTGGTTTAGAATAATGTTGGCTCATTATTTCTCAACACCAGTCTAGATTGATCACTTCCAGGGATGCAGTTTCCTAAAGAGCTGCTGTCTTTAACTGCAGATTTTTGCATATCAAAGGAAACTGATGCTGTAGCCAATGCGCCTGATTCAATTTTAAGGAGGGAACAGTTCAATCAGTACGAGATTGTTATTTCCCAATGAAAGAGCTACGATAATTTCTCTGGAAAGAAAAATGAGACCTTGAGAAGAAACTAATGGGTTGGTATCTGAATTGTTTGCATTTAAATGTTGGTGCTGCAATATGTCTTCTCTGCATATCTGTTTTATAAATTAAAAGGGAAAAAATTTAAAAATGAATACCGTTATACTTTTAACTGGGCATATGTAACTAAAAAGTGAGCTAACCTCAGAAAAACCTGTGTGTTGAAATGATCTTATATTGTCAGAAATATGAGATTCCAGTCTAAAAGAAGTTTCTGAGTTGAATATATATGATGGGGTGGACATGGATGGCTGATCTGCCACAATTTGTTTGTTAGGCATATTGGATGAATAGGGCATAGATCTGTTTTCTTCACTTGAATCCATTCTTATCTGAGACAATTGCTGGGGTTGCAATGCTTCTGGAAAGAACATAGGATGCAAACTCAACCCATTTCTCATTGACAGCATCTGCTATTACCATAAAACCATATTAGAAACAAGCTGAGCAGTATTTCTCCTTTCCCTTTAACATGCTCAAAATTTAATTGTCAGCACATAACAGTGGGTTTTGGTAAAAGAGGAGATCCATATCAAGAATATAATTCGAGTATTTCCTGATGCATGATGTGTGCATCGCAACATAGTATAATGTTATTCACAAAAGTATCAACTTGTACTAAATACACTATATTTTATGATTCTTCAATACTCTGATCACTCTGCAGAGCATATATTATGGCAATGTTGCACAACAAAACATAACAAGCATAACTATGATCATCACTTTGTAAATTGCTGTAGTTTTTTATTTATTAAACTCGGATACTTCAAAAATGGAAAAGTATACCTATCGTACCAGTGTCAGACACTGATACTCCTCGGTTACTTCCAAATATATATCTAAAAAATATTCAATATATTTTTATTCTTTTTCCAATACTTCTTGGTACTTTTGGAATACTTCTTACGTGTCCAAAAGGTATCCAATCTTTTTCCTTCTAATTTTTTCTAGGATATGATATAAGATACTTTCAAATAGTATCTAAACCATCTACTTTTGTCTGAAAAAGATTACGGGTATTATTGCATAAAAAATAGAGACAAAAATTGAAGAACATTAGTGAAATTATAGTTACTCAAGATTGATTGCGATATAAACAAAAGTTAAAATTGTTTTGTTATGATCACAAATGTTTTATTCTTTTTTGTAAATTTGATATTGTAGCCATAAATTAATAGAGAAAACATCAATGTCTCTTTACTTATAAGTATTCTATATTTATATCAAATATTTTATAAATTTTGTCAATGGATCATGATGTATCGTATCCTAAATTCAAATTGGGACACACACACAATATACATACATACACATATATTTTTTTTAAAAAATTTGGGGATATGATAGAGATTAAAAGCTTATTTTAACTGAATATTAGTTATAATCAAGTTAATTTATAGTGAAGCGTCAATTTTGGTATGTGTTCGAGTAACTAAATGCATCACAATTTCTTATGTTCTTTTAAGGATGTTATTAAAGGTATCTTCAGCAAGATTCCATAAAAGTCCTTTCCAAAAGTTCTTATAATTTATGCCAGTTGTTATTGCAGACATACCTCAAAATTCAAAGGTTTAAATTAGTGTGGATATTAGACCTTGCAATCATATCTAGTGACATGACATGATCACAGAAGTATCCAACGTTTCTTATAAAAACAAATAACTAAGATATCATTACTCATGATTTGTAACTTCATGTAATTGCAATCTAAGAAAGAATGTTCAAGAATAAATTACGCCCCGAAAAGGAATTGGAATAATAATGAAAGACACGGAAAGAGAAACAGACCTGTACTTGGAGCTGAAGCTGTTTGAGGTATTCAATAGCTTCATCAAGCATCGAAGCCTTGTCAGTCTGCCACACAACAATCCTCCACAGTCAAAGAACAACGAATCGTGAAGCACGCTAATCAAACATTGTAGAAGAAACCAGTGTACCTTGTTGGAATTTGGAATTAGATTTTGCAAAGCCTTCAATTTTTCATTGATCCTACTCCTCCTCCTCTGCTCTCAACAAACCCCGCACCAGACACAAAAGCCAGAAATGAAAATTACTCGGCCATGAATAAAAACCCAAACCCAAACACACAAAATAGCCAACCACCATACAGTAGCGGAACCAGATGATTTTATCAGAGGTGAAGTTGCATTTACCCGAATGTAGCAAATTCATGACAAATTAGTCCTTCCTTTGTGACATTTGGGAAGTGACTTCTTTACAAAATTGTCAGGACAAAACTGTTGTAACCTTGACAATTTCGGAGACTAAATTAATGAAATATATATTCATAAAACCTTGGCCGGGCATCAGATCAGGCAGGTTGCCTGCCACCTTGGGATACAACTTATAAATTTTCTGTAAGTTTGATTTCAAACTATCTTTAATAAAATACGTGAAGAGGTTTCTTATCTTAGGGGGTGCAATGCAGGTGTAGTGCAGCTGCCCCACTTTTCGACGTAATTACGAGAAGAAAATTCAAACCTTTTCAGACAAGTTATGAACTTCCGCCGCTCTGCTTCTTTTGGATGAACTCCCAGAACGAAAGCACTTGGGTGGAATTGGAACTTCTTCTACCAACGCTTCACACTCCTACATTGAGAATGTTCATATAATAAGAACATACAGCACACCGCAAGACTACAATAATGATAATAATAAAAATAATATAAAGAATATCGAACAAGGAGAAATATGAGAAAGTGGAAGCAACACCTCACTGTCGCAGTCGTAGTCATCGGTTTCATTGTGAGTATTGAGAGGCAGCGAGGAAGAAAAGACTTGGGTAGCAGAAGAAGGGTTGTAGGGCGAGATCCCATCTCGTAGTGCATTATGTTGTGCAGTTTTGGAGGTGCAGAAGCGAAGCATGGAGATGGGGATGGGATTGCGTGGGGGGTTACCCTGTGGGGTTGTGAAGGAAGAAGGTAGAAGAGTGTGAGGAAGGGGAAGCGAGATTTGGTGGTGTGTGGAAGAGGAGGAAGAAGACATGGTATTATCCCTTTTTGTTTTGTAGAACAATGTGGAATTGTTTTGGTTTAAGGTAGGAGCGAAAAGGTCAAAGGAGCGTTAGCACTTTTCTTTTTGGATCGTTGGTGATTGGGTGTTGGTTGCAGAGGCAAATGTTTACGTTTGTGTTTGTTAATGTAAAGCGGATAATGGAGGTGGCTGGTTTGAGAAACCGATGGAAAAGAAAAGAACCAAAGGTTTTACAAAGGAAGGATGTGACGTATGACATGGGGAATTGTGAACTGTTTCGGATCCAAAGTATGGTTCGCTCACACTACCCACAGTGCCACGCGCCATAACAGCGATTATCTCCAACTCCATCACTTCCCCCTCCACATACTCATACACAACAATTGCTTTTATTCTATTAAATTACCAAAGTATGTAAAAGGAATTACAAGTAGTTATCTGTTATTTCTTTGGGTCCTTTTCGTTAACATAAATAATACGACATCTTGAGGGTCTGAATAGCAGTGGAGGAGGGTGTTATATATAGCTCATGCATTTAATAGATTGAAATATAAATCTCACAAATTGGCGTGGCAGTACTAATTATGTAGCACACAACACGATGAAGGCCTTAGTGGGCTGATTCAAAATAAAACAAGGAAGCCACTATAATTATTGGGCTTTGGTAGCCCGTACCTATGTAAAGCCCAATTAACTGGATTTGAACTTACTATCCCATCACATTTCTTCACACAATTCTTTAAAAACTGGGGTTGGCATGTAGCTATTGGCAAGTAAATATCTTTTTTTTCCAATACCCATAAAAAATTATTTTCGAAAAATATAACGTAAAAAAATCTCACAAAAGAGGGATTATTACCAAATGCCTAAACCAATTCCTATCCCCCATTTTTAACTGTTTTGTCACCGCCTCTAAACTACCATAAACTGAAAAAACAGTGTTAACTTTTGTGAGAAAAAAGAGGTGCACGTGTCTAAAGATCTAATAGAAAACAGTTCATAGTTATTACCAGAATCAACCAAAGCCAGTTTCTACGACTATTATCAAAGTTATACGCTTCCACAGGGAAAAAAAAACTAGTCGATACCTTTGGTGCAGATCAAACTATTGCAAACTGCAAAGCAACAACCAAATAATTATCCGTTGGAGCTTGGAATGACTTTGCCAATATCATCCTAAGTCCAAGTACCATAAAAACATCCATTTAAAAGAAAAGAAAAAGTAGTCTTGCATGAGTTTAAGTTCATTTGTCGACAAGAATGAAGTACGCGGTCTCTGCATCCATAAGTTTGTTCCATGGAGGAAAACGAAAGTTGAAATCACAGTCTTTAGAAGTTACAGTGAGGAACTATTGACTGTCACCTTCATCGTGAACCACAGCTGCATCTGCTGCTTTACCTCCTACATTTTGCTCATTAGACGTTTCCAACCCAGTTTTTCTGCAGACGGGGCAACGGTTCCTGTGGTTGAGCCAAGTTTTGATGCAATCAAAGTGAAACTTGTGCACGCAAGAATGCAGCTTCCCAATATCCTCTCCGTTGCAAAATTCTTCCTATAAACGTTGTAATAGAAAAATTAATACAACATGTGAACACGAACACAAATTCCATACGAAAGGAGTTATGAAGAATGAATGAAAATGTATATGACTGACCAGACAAACGGGACATCTTTCTTTATTTTGTTCTGAATCATCTCCATCAACAGCCAAGAAAGTTTGACGCTCCATGTATTGAGTTATCGTTTCAAGACTCAGGCCCGTGAATCGCGATGTCTCGAATAGTTCAGGGTGCTCTATCTGCCTCAATTAATACTTTTTAGTGCAATAAATCAAGCCAAATACTTTATTTCAGACTAGACTTAAAAAAAATACCAAACATAACTTGTAGGAACTTTTCAAAATTTATTATTCTCGGAAAATAAATGAAAAAAGACCAATCTGGAAGGAATAGGAGTTTCAGAGATGGTCAATGAAACGATGTTTGCTTGATAGATTTGAGGAGGCAATGTAAAGGTTCCCAAAGTCAAGGCTTAATTCAATTTCTAAGTTTATCGAAAGTTTTGGAAGATTGTACAGAAGATGAAAGAAAAAAAAAGAGAGAAAGTGGAAGATATGATGAAAAATGTAGAGTTAGATAAAAGAAAAGGTGACGATGAAATAGAAGAGAAAATTAATGCATGAATATATTCATACCTGAAACGCACGTAACACAAGTGAGTAGTCGAGGATCATCAACTCCTATAAGATATAGAGACATAAGACATGTTTTATTACACTGATTAAAAGTGATGGGTATTTATAAGTAGAATTACCTCATCAGAATACTAATATATAATATGTGCCATCCTACATAGGATTTGAGAGTAAGAAAAATACAATTGTGCAAAATTCTACCTCAAACCTCAGAGCGTGACCATCGCCTAAAGAATTAAGGATAGATTGAACCTGTATGAAACAAGATATATTAAAAAATTTACTAAGTCAAAGATAAACTTAGTGCCAAATAAATTAAAATGGTAGTAAATAATCTGTAATTCTTTTTTATCAGCTAAAAAGACTATATAATTATAATAGAATACTTAGATATTTAACTTATATATAATATAGTACAATAGAACATTTTACAATTAAGTTCAATGTTTTCTTTTTCTTAAAATCTACTAACTAAATTAACTATTCATATTTATAATATTATAGTAATCACAACCTTCATTGTTCTTTAAAACATTGCAAATAATATTTCTTAAAAAATAATATGTAATAATAATATACAACTTGAAAATAATCTCTCAAAACTCTAACTAATCAAAGTTTGGTTCACTTTAATTATATAAAAAGGAAAATAATGTTTTAATAATTTCTTTTTTCTTATGTGGGGAGCTTACTAAAACGTATGCTATATATATATAGGAAGATTAGGATTACTTTCTAAATACACGGCACGACAACAACAATTTTCCACTCAGGATTTATGACTAAATCCTATCACACCATCCGGAATGAGTTTTAACAATAATAACAGGAATGAACATGCATTGACATTTCATACAATGTAACACATTAAAGAGTGAAAATAAAGAGCCATAGACATAGTATAAGTTATTATGTGATAAGAAGGGTGAGAAAAAGAATTAAGCAGTGTATGTCCAATGCATGTTTCTGATGTATGGATGTAATATCCATACACACACAACTATCATATATGCAATACTACCATTATGCTAGCAAGAAAAATACCAGATTTTTGTAATTATAAGGAGATAAAAACATTGAGTCTTGGCATACCCCATTTGGAAGCCTTCTTCTGGTTTCCTCAGAAGGAAATTGTGGAAGCGGAAAAGCGGGTTCATGAATGAAATTGGGTGGAATTGCAGATGATGATGTTTGCACAAGACTCAGGTGGTTCAGAGGGCCAGGACTACTTACTGCAGCAAAATGATTCATTCCTCGTGAGCCCTGTGGAGGAACCCAAGATGAAGAGCTAGCATGACCACTCAGAGGGTGGTAAGTATTACCATTTCCCACAATTCCAGGTAGTAGATGCAGTGGTTCCAACGGGGGTTCCAACGTATGGGGGAGAACAAAAGAAAGAGCCCTTCTAGAAGTATCTGGATGAGTATCAACGTAAAACCTGTTTGGTCGATAAGTGGGAAAATTACCCATTGATGTTACGACAGGACCAAACATGTTGTTCCCATGTTGATAAAATGGAGCCATAATATGGAGTCCAGCGTGAGGAAAGCCAGAGGATATTGAGTGAGGAGCATTGGTCATGGTGTTTACAGTGAAGGCAGGACCAGACATGAATGAAGTACTGTGAAAAGATAGAGGCTCAACGGAAAGTGAGGGTTGGAAAGAAGAGTGAAGGGAATGTGTTGAAATAAAAGGTTGAGCATGAGAACCTATTCTATGGTCAGTATTATCCATCCAGTCAGCTCTCATGTTGGTTGGTGGAACCGTTGTTTCTGCAATGTGTGGAATTTCGTTGCGGGTAGCTCTCACCTGAGACCGAGTATCAAATCTTTTGGGTTCTTCTATATTTGGAGAAGCGTTTTCAGGGAGGCTTCTTTTTCTCGATATGTTGACGCTGCTTGAGTCGCTTCCATGCGCGCTAAGTGCAACGTTCGAACTTGGAACCATAGCAGGAGTAATTGTTTCACCCTGACCGCTCATGCCAAAGTTCAGATACAAGTCTACATTTTCCTCAGGATTTGGAGAAGTTCCAGCAAAGGAGCTTGATGAGTAAATGTTTGATTCCGGTGCTACAACATTAGGGGTTTCCTCAAGTGGAACATCAGTTGTGGCACCAATGTTGTTGCCACCTTGTTGAGGGAAATTCACTTCTGGCTGATCAAAGTCTTCCTCAGTAGCAAAGAGGGGAAATAAGGGACGCAGCCTGTCTTGTGTTTCACTAGAAAACCGAGGCCTCAAATAATTTTGGTTGTTTGCATTAGCTTCTCCACCTGAGCCACCTTCAACAAATGGACCAAATAGTTAAAGAGTGTTCACAAATAAATGTTCGGGAGAGGAATGAGCTCACCATGAGGGTTCATCGTTGTTAATTTCACTTCTGAAGGCTGAAAATTCAACGGATGAAGACTGGCTAATGTGTCTCCTACTGAGTCACTAAGCCTGCGTGAGGGCCATAAGAAAATAGTATTTCAAAACACTGAATTATTTTGCCATTAGTGGTAATGTAGGCAGCAGTGTCAATGAAATGATATAATTTTAAATTTTTTTTTACGTACCTAAATTTTTTACATTCTTCTTGTATTATATTTTATTATCTTTTATTTTCTTTTTTCTTTTTTAAAAAATACAAAAATTTACACTTTTTATAATATTTTATTCTTTTACTCTTTATCTAATAAATATAAAAATGTGTCATCATTATTTTAAAATTTATTCTATAAATAATTTATTCTATAAGAAATCAAAAGGCATGTTAATTCATAATTCAGAATAATATATGAAAGGAAATAATTAATAAGTTTAGTTCCTGTCAAAATATGAATAATTTTGGATAAATCTGGTATTTAATTGCTGAAAAAGGAAGTCAATGTTTAATTTTTATCAATGTATGGCATCGAACTACAAAATCTATCAGAGGATTTTTATATGATTTAAACAAAAAAAAAACAATGGCTGTAGTTGTTTCTCCTGTGTTAGCTTATCGTTGTCCTCCTGTAATGACAAGAGAACAGGGACAAGTGATTTCTATCCTTGCCCACGTGATGAATTGTATCTGAATACGTACTATGATATATGTAACACATTATGATGAATGTTGCAAATATGTTTATACATGAATGAAAAGCTATAAACTAGGATAATCGTTTGAAAGATTATAATTTGAATCTTCCTAATCTAGATTCACCAATTATAATCTCAGAAATGTAGTGTAAAAATATAAGGATACTATAAATAATGGACTACAAAAATCATTTCTAGTATGAGAGAATCAATCGGCATAGTTATGTAAACACCATAGATAGAAGAAGGCATAACTATTACTTAAAAGAACATGCAAGCGGAAATTATTACTCAAACATAATAATAATAATAATAATAATAATAATAATAATAATAATAATAATAATAATAATTGCATTGCAGATAATTGAAAAGGTTATGTATACATTAAATATTTACCATTAAAATTCATAATCATGCATGTAAGTTAACAATAAAAGAGGGTATAGCATTTTGTTTGATTGGACTTCTAAGTTTTACACCTAACTTAAGAGTTTAAAGTTTTTTTCTCTCTCCGGCAGTCGAAGATTTTTACTAAGACTTTGTTCACATAATGGATTTGAATAAAATGATTGAATGAATTTGAAAGGATTTGAAGATAATTTTTTTGTTATTTATTTGAGTGGATTTGGAGGTAAGTGAGAATGAATTTGAAAGTAAAGTTTGTGATAATTAGTGTATGATTTGATTGATGTGACAGATTTAAAAAATTTGCTTCAAAATCTACTTTCACTTAACTCCAAATCCATTCAAATAAACAACAATTTTTTTTAAGTCCTCTCAAATCTATTAAATCTTTCTCCTCCAAATTCATTCAAGTGAAATAGATCGGTTCAAATTGTGCCAACACTTAATTTATGACTCATTTTTCCTTGATTTTAATAATTAAACATAAAAAATAATATCATTTATATAAAAAAGGTAATAATGATAAAAACGAAAAAGAAAAAACGAATTAGATGAGTAAAATAAAAACATTAATTAAAAACAAAAATTAATAGGAAAACTTGATGCTAATTTCTTTCAAAATACAATTTTGATCTATAAGAATTAGAGTACCCGCACTCTAAGCCACATAAGAAAATATTTTGCTCCAAAAAATAATTTTTGACCAACAAAAACCCTAAATACCAAATCGGTTAGAGCAAATATGTTAATATAAAAAACAAAGAATTAAGACACGAAAAGGGGTCAGATGAACAAAAATAAAGCATGCATGAGTGATCTGAAATAACACATTCACGCACATATAAAAAAACCATTTTTTTAGAAAAAAACCAACAATGAAAGGGGGAAAAAAAGGGAGAAAAGAGATCCCATTATAACAGTAAGTGAGATCTATATCTAAAAGAAGATGAAGAAATGAAGAGGGTACCCATGGGAATTTCCTCACTTAGTCTGTGAAGGAAGTCGTTTGAGTCTGTATCTGAATTGTGTATATTTTGAAAAGTTGAAGTGAATAGTGAAGGGTGAGGCTATATATATAGTCTGATTTATAAGCATAACTAGAGAGGTTTGTCTTGCAAACGCAGTGTTTGGGTTATTATAGAATTCTGATTCTTACGTTGATCTTACATTAATGGAGTGGAAGCTGTTAATTTAAGAAACGCATAGGAAGAACGCTGGCAGAGGGAACTAGCGACAAAATATCCAGATGACATCCTCGTGTTTCTCCCTCTTTCACTCACCTTTTCAGGCTTTGGTGTTTTGTGAACATTTTTCTGAAAATCTTCAGTTTTTTATTTTTTTTTCCTTTTCTAGAAAACATGCAGTCAATAAGTGAAATATGGAAAACATTAAATCCTCTTTATCTAAAGAAAACATTGAAAATTCTCTTTTTCTTTTTTTTTTTGTTAAAGAGTTTTGAATATTTTCTTTCCATTCCTCTTTCAAAATGTTGTGTTTTAAAAATTTAATTTAAATTCATTTTTAAAGTTTACGAATTACTTTTGTTTTTTATATTTTTAATCTTTAATTAATGTAACATAAAAAAACAATAATTTTTATAAATATTTTATTAAAGTTAATTTTTTTATTACATTTATTAATGCATAGTTAATAATGAATGCTCAATTATTATTAATCTGTTTTAATTAAAACTGCCTACAAGCATTAAATAGTTAATTTATTTCGCCCTTTTTATCCGGGGAAAGTTTTCTATATTTAAAGTGGATAGCTTGTCAAAAAAAAAAATACAGATAATCTGAATTTATTTTGATATGCAAAAAACAGGTTCACACTAAATAAATTTTATAAATAGTTATCAATTTTAAAAATAAAAAATAATTATTCATTTTAGTAACTAATTTAAATACTAATTTATAAACTAAAAATTATTAGTCTTTAAAATAGGCAATTATGAATACAAAATTATAATGGGTTAAATATGTTTTCGATCCCTTAACTTTCACTGAAAATTGGAATTAGTCTCTCTTCAAAACTTTGGACTAATTTAGTCCCCAAACTTTAGAAATATGTGAATTTAATCCTTTTAACAAAATTTTGTTAACTTTATTTGATGTTTCAAACGCATTTCTTAGTTAACATTAAAGCAAAAATGTGTCAAACGGTATAAACAACTCAGATGAAACACACTTGAAATATCAAAGAAAGTTAACAAAATTTGGTTAAAAGGACTAAATTCACACATTTCTAAAGTTTGAGGACTAAATTAGGCCAAAGTTTTGAAGTGGAACTAATTCCAAATTTCAGTAAAAGTTAAGGGACCAAAAACATATTTAATCCAATTATAATGAATGACTAATTATACTTTAAATTAGTCAATAACATTAATTACTAAGACTTTAGCTATAAAAAAATTAATTTCTAATTAATTTGTCATTAATATATATTAATGACTTATAAAAGTTTATAATTATTAAGCAATTTAAACATTAATTACTTTGATAGCTAAAATATTGGTAACGTTTGGTCACTCATTATAATTTTTTATTCATAACAGTAATTATTTTAAACATCCAACCCGACCCACCACGGGTAACGGGTAACCCGGCCCGACCCAACCCGACCCACCACGGGTTGGTCACTTAGTGAGCCAACCCAACCCGGCTCATTTATTAGCGAGCCGAAAAAATTCGAACCCGACCCGACCCACCACGGGTTGGTGGGTTAAACGGGTTGGCTCATTGGCTCACTTAATTAACTTCTTTTTCACTCTCTTCTTCCGAGATTCTTATAACATGTTACTTTGATCGATCAAATTGAAACAATAATAATATGATCAATTAATATAAAAGAAAATGAAACAAAAGAAATATATTGTTATATATATTTTAAGTTATCAAGCATAAAATTTTGCCAATTTAGTTTAATGAGACATACATAATTACATATAGCCGTTAACAAAAATATATAGCACAAGATAAAACTGTCATGCTTGTAGATAGGTCTAAAAACAAGATAAAACAAATGATATATTCCTGAATTATCCAATCTATAATATTATCTATCTATTAAATTGGAGTCTTGAATGAATAAATCCATAGGATTATGCTTTCTTGAAGCATCTTCTTCTTTATCTCTATCTACAATACAATAAAAAGTAGTGTTAACTAATAATATTGAAACACAAAGTAATAAATAATTAAAGACATATTACTAATAATTAAAGACATATTACTAATAATTAAAGACATATCACTAAGTAAAAGTTATACATTTTGAATAATTAATTTAATTTTAATAAAAAAAATAGAATTTAAATAATTAATTTAATTAAAAAAAAATAGGTGGGTTGGTGAGCCAACCCGACCCACCACAGGTTCAACCCATGTGAGCCAGGTTCTTAGTAAGCCGGGTCAAAATTGACTCGCATAAAAAATTTGACATTTTTTTTCAATCCAACCCGGCTCAAACCCGTGGTGAGCCGAGTTGACTCACGGGTTTCAACCCATTTTGACGGCTCTAATTAATTACTAAGACTTTAGCTATAAAAAAATTAATTTCTAATTAATTTGTCATTAATATATATTAATGACTTATAAAAGTTTATAATTATTAAGCAATTTAAACATTAATTACTTTGATAGCTAAAATATTGGTAACGTTTGGTCACTCATTATAATTTTTTATTCATAACAGTAATTATTTTAAAGATCAATAATTTTTATTTTATAACTTAATATCTAAATTAATCACTACCATGACTAATTATTTTTTGTCTCTAAAATTAGTTGATATTTAAGAATTTTTTTATAATGTTAGAATTTTATTGTTTAGAAGTTGAGATCAAAGATAATTTATATAATATTTTAATTTTAATTTTTTGAGACTTCTTTTA